GACGAACTTTAGACCTATCAGCTTGGTGGGAATCATCTATAAATTAATTGTTAAAGTTCTTGCTTTAAGATTGAGAGATACATTGGACAGGGTTATCTTGGATTCCCAAAACGCTTTTGCGGGAGGTCAGTCCTTATTGCAGGCAGTAAGTGGATTCTAGACTGTGCAGTGGGGTCCCAGGGGTTCTTTGCAAGTTGGACATTGAGATGGCTTGTGATCATGTCAATTGGAGCTTCCTTCTTTATATGTTGGAGAGGATAGATTTTGGAGAGAGATGAAGGAAATGGATTAAGTTTTGTATCTCAAACGTTAGAATCTCGATCCTCGTAAATGAAGCTTCAATGGGATTCTTTTCTAGTTTGAGGGGGTTCAGGCAGGGAGATCCTCTATCTCCTTTTCTTTTTCCCATTGTGATGGAGGCTCTTAGTAGGATGATGTAAAGGGTGGTGGAACTGGGCTTATTCTATGGCTTTCGGGTGGGGAGAGACATTCCTAATCATTTGGAGATTTCTCATTTGATGTTTGCTAATGACACTCTTGTTTTCTAGTGATGCAGCTGTCTCTCAAATGAGGTATTTGAGATGCGTTCTAATATAGTTTCAAGTTGTTTCTGGCTTGAAGGTAAATGTGGGAAAGAAAGCGTTTTGGTTCTGGTTGGGGGCGTTTATGAGATTAACTCTAGCCGACACTTTGGCTTGCTGCATTGGCTTGTTTGGGATTTGACACGTCCATCGCATGAATAAATATTCGTACCCAACACACATACCCAAATCCAAGTAACATAGCTTTAAACTAATATATTTGAGCTTCATTATAAATTTCAAATTGAATATTACTTAATTGGGAATGAATTTCGAAACCTTTAATTTGGTTAGGAGGCTTAGATTTTGAAGTTCAATTGAAACCAAATAAGTAGTTGTTTTGGTAAAAATCTTAGGTTGTCGAAACTAATTCATGAATTCTCTTTTTTCATTCTTTTCTACTGCAAGCCATGTCTCATCTTGTAACAAATTTTTTTATAATCATTTGTAGTTACTTCATCCCACAAAATAGTTTTGGTCAGCCTCTTTTTCTATTACTTTTTATGCAATCAAATCTACATTTTCTAAATGGTGCATCCATAGGCCTCCGTTTTATATGACCATACCACTAAAAGTCTATTGTCTCTCTTCTTCCTTTTTTTAGGGGGGGGGGGGGGGGGGGGGTTCAAAACTAACCTTTATGTCTTCATAAAAACATTGAAAATAAGCTAGCTAGAACCTTCCGATATAATTTAAATTTCCAAAAACAACAATCAATAAGCTTCCAATGATATATTATACGCCTAATTTTGAGTCCATAGGGACCTAAGTATCTAAAGTCAAAGCAATCAAACCTTGATTTCAATCAAAGAAACTCACTCCTATTTTCTCTCTTCTTCTTTCTTTTTTTTTTTGGATCAAAACTAACCTTTATGCCTTCTTCGTTTGGACTGCCTCATTGGAGAAGATTTTGACATTGGACAATTTGAGAAAGAGAGGCAACATCATTGTTAATTGGTGTTGTTTATGTAAAGCTGATAGTGAATCCGTGGATCACATTCTTTTGCATTGTGCTGTGGCGTATGATTGTTGGAGTTTTATTTTTAGCATGTTTGGTGTTTTTTGGGTAATGCCTAAACACTCCTCTCAATTGATTAACGCTTGGAAAAGGTGTCCTATCAAAGACAACAATCAATAAAGGTTCAAAACTAACCTTTATGTCTTCATAAAAACATTGAAAATAAGCTAGCTAGAATCTTCCGATATAATTTAAATTTCCAAAAACAACAATCAATAAGCTTCCAATGATATATTATACGCCTAATTTTGAGTCCATAGGGACCTAAGTATCTAAAGTCAAAGCAATCAAACCTTGATTTCAATCAAAGAAACTCACTCCTATTTTCTCTCTTCTTTTTTTTTTTTTTTTGGATCAAAACTAACCTTTATGCCTTCTTCGTTTGGACTGCCTCATTGGAGAAGATTTTGACATTGGACAATTTGAGAAAGAGAGGCAACATCATTGTTAATTGGTGTTGTTTATGTAAAGCTGATAGTGAATCCGTGGATCACATTCTTTTGCATTGTGCTGTGGCGTATGATTGTTGGAGTTTTATTTTTAGCATGTTTGGTGTTTTTTGGGTAATGCCTAAACACTCCTCTCAATTGATTAACGCTTGGAAAAGGTGTCCTATCAAAGAGCAAGCTCGTGATTATTGGAAGATTGTTCCACATTGTGTCTGGTGGTGTTTGTGGCGTGAGAGGAATAACAAATCCTTTGAAGGAAAAGAATCGTCTTTAGCTAATTTAAAAATTCATATTCTTCGTTCTTTGTTCTGTTATGTAAGAGGAAGTACATGCTCCTCGATTGATGATTTCTTTGATCTCTTGGATTCTATTGGTCCTTAAACCTTTTTTCTTGTATTAGGGATGCGTTCCCCTTTTGAACGTTTTTCTAATATATTTTTACTTATCAAAAAAAAAAAAAAAACTAACCTTTATGCCTTCAAAAAACATTGAAAATAAACTAGCTAGAATTTTCCGATATCATTTGTATTTTCAAAAACAACACTCAATAAGCTTCCAATGATATATTATACGCCTAATTTTGAGTCCATGGGGACCTCAATGAAGTATCTAAAGTTAGAGTAATCAAACCTTCATTTCAATCAAAGAAACTCACTCCTAAGAGCTACAGTAGATAGTTTGATCAATTGTGCAATCAATAAATGGTTACTGGTGTTGTTTAAATCAATCAAAATTGTACAACACACACTTGCAAGTTTGAAAAGGTTTTGAAACCTTTATAAACTCAACCAAAGCATTCCTAATTGATCACTAATCATTCCAACACTATAAAAAGGTAACATGAGGTTATCTGAACATAAGGGTAAACCAAGTACAATACATGAGAAGGGATTATATGAAAATATAGAGATACATGATATTAAGAGTTACATTTTTTAATCACAAGTTAAGTGTTCATATAATACCCCACATTATGTTGAATGAATTATGATTGAATTATAGAGCAAACAAGGATCATGTTAGTGAACGGATTCATTGATCCACAATATTAAAGGTCAAGTAAGGACTAGTTTGGTGTGCTGGAATGGGCTGAAATGGAATGACCACTCCAACTTCTGATTCCTTTTATCTTGTTTGGTGTGTCATTTTAAAGGTGGAATGACTATTCCAACTCATTCCTGAGAATGCTCATTCCATCAAGAAGTTGGAATGGCCATTCCTCTTCTTGACCAAAGGAATGGCCATTCCATTCCCAACAAAAATTAAAATAAAATATAAGTAAAATAGAAAAAATAAATAAATACAAAATAAAAGCACCGTCTAACCTAAAAACTTCTTTCACACATGACTCTGTCTCCCTCAGCCGTCTTCCTCCATCATCTCTCTCTTTTCTACCACTCCTAAAAAACTTTCCATTGCCTCCACTTCTCCCCTCACAGTTCCACACTTCCCTCTCTCTCCTCCTCCCTCTCTCACCACCCAACATACTTTGAATGAAAAACCTTCGAAACCCTCGCATATACACATACAGTAGCACTCTGCAATTGTTTGTTCCTCTCACTTCCAAGCTTTTCTCTGAACATTCTACATAGCAGTAGTTCGTAAACTCACCAAGCTCTGAACTTTTTAATCTCAGAGAGAGAGAAGCAAGTACTCACCATCGGAGCTGATCTAGGGTTTTCTACATATCTCTATTTCTCTCTTGATTCAATCGAAAATGGCAATGACGGCACAAACTCACTTCTATTTTAGGGGAACGCCAGTCGGGGCAGGACGTTCGTACTCAAAACAAATTGCTATTGATCAATTCTTATTCTTATTTATTTTTATTTTATTTTTAATTTTGAATTTTGATAAGAATATTTTGAAAAAAAAAAAAAAATTCATTCCATTCTAGTTTTAGGATGATGGTCCAGCCAAACATTGGAATGGAAATAAGCATTCCATTCCTTATCATTCTAGGTTTGAAACCAAACAATGGAATGAGAATGACCATTCCTTTCCTTTTTCATTCTCATTCCATTCCCACTTAAATTCTCATTCCATTCCATTTTATTCCTGCACACCAAACTAGCCTATGTGTCTAGCATGAGTTTGGATTAGATTTAATTCAATATAAAAGAATCTTAGGGATAAGAGTCTGGACCTAGGGTTGTACTGTTTTCTATTATGGTCGATTGTTTGTCCCCCATGATTTTTCCCTTTTGGGGTTTTCCACATAAATCTAGTTTGTTCGTGTGATTGCTCTATTTTTTTATTATTAATTTTTTCAACATCTTCATATGTCTGAATAGAAATTAGAATGTATAACAAATGCACACGAAAAAGAAGTGATTTAGATTAAAATTTTGGCACAATAAAAATGCAATTCAAAAAATGGTTATTTGTTGATAAGGTATCACAAGACCTTCTCAACCACCTCTAGGAAACATGGTGTACGCTGAACCATCAGAACTTTGGGTAATAGCCATACTCTTGAATTGGTAACAAATATTTAAATGATAGATTTTTCACTCTGTTCTATCTGATACCCAAAAATGGAGGCATACAACCAAATAGAAATACAATCAAATGTAATGGGGGATATCCCCATGTATCCAAGAGCAACTGGCAGCTAGCTATCTGGGAAAGAATATTAAAAAACGAAGCAGTTCAAAATAAAGCACACACTGTTTGGCCTCAAAGGTTCAAGAAAAGATACTTTGCTTATATATTAGTTTTCCATCACACGCTAACCAGAGCTGTAAAGTTTTAGAATGCAATTTGTATTGCCAACATCTACTAAGAATGAGAAAACTGAAAGGAACGACCACTTGAAGAGTAAAGAAATTAAAGCCAAAAAAAAAAATTAATGAAAAAAATGCTCAAGCTTCAACCAGAACTCATAGCATAAACTGCAGAAAACAAGTATAAGAAAGTTAATTCCATTTAGTGTGAGTTTAGTACTATTACCTTCATCAATTGATGTACGGAAGTCTTGTAGTAAATTGGTTATGCGAATCCGAGTGGCTTCGACGATTTTAGGGTTTTGTTGCTGTTCTCCTTTCTTCTGCCTTTTCTGTCCTGATCTTGTCATATTTTCTTCCTTTCTTTTTGGGATTCTCTGAATCACTTCGCTTGGCAACGAATACAGAACGAGAGAGTTCTTGTTGTTTTGCTCTATGTACGTACTGTATTTATATCCCTCTTTCGTCGGCTTATAGCTTCTTGGCCGCGTTTGCGTTTAAGTTTGCCCCTTTTTTTTTCTGAAGCGGTTCAACGCTTCTGCGATTTGCTCTGCTTACACTTACACGTGGCTGAATGGAATATCTAAGGACTAATTAAAAATGCCCCGTCCCAAAATAGCTTGTTGGGAATCCATCTTTTATGGTAATTAATTAGTTTTAAAAAATATATATTATTCTTTTACTTTTAATGGAGTCGATATAAAAAATGGTAATTTAAAAATATTATAAAATATATTACATTTAGTTTTTAAATGGGACATGTAATTTGGGGAATCAACTTTTTATGGTGATCGGTTTAAATTTTTTTTATTGTTTGATCATGTCAGTGTAAAATACGAGAGACAATTATTACACAATAGTTCAAGCCTACAAGTTTGGAGGCAGATGTGGTGTGTCCTAGGTGTAGAGGGGGGGCGAGGAATTCATCGAGCATTTGCTTTTCCTATGCCCTCATTCTATTCAAGTTTGGAAGTATTCACCACTTTGATTGGATTTTGTTTGTGCTCCTCCTTCATCTTTTTCTGCTTGGTCGTTGGATTTGGGTGGGAAGTGGAAGGATACGGAAGGGAGAATGGATGTGTTGGGTTTGGTGGCTTGCTGTTCTTGGGAAATTTGGAAAGCCAGAAATAAGTTGATCTTCGATGGGACGAGCTGGGATGCTCCTAGTGTTGCTTCGATGGCTTGTTCTAAGTTTTGGGAATACAAGGAAGCATCTTCATTTCCTATCGTCAGTTTGTATCCCGGTTTGTCTGTTCCTCGATCTTTTTCGCAACCTGTTTCCTCTCCTTCATGATGGGTGCCTCCAGGAGATGGCATTGTTAAGTGTAGTGTGGATGCTACTTTTTTAGCCTCATCTCAAGTTGAGGGTGGAGGTGTGGTTTTTCGCGATTCAATGAGCACTATTTTGCAGGCTGTCGTCTTTTCTCCTTTTCCTGCTAATAGTGCAGCTTTAGCTCTGTGATAAGCGTTGAAAAGTACGCATTTAAACTCCTTAATCTTAAATGTTCTAGGACCTTATTCTATCTTATTTTCTCATTTTAGTCTAATTTCATATTATTTCCCTTTTCAAGCATTTATCCCCAAAATAAGTCAATTCAGCTGAATTAAAGCATTAAAAGAAGCAATCTCAAACCTAGTGGAAGAAAGGAGCAAAGTGGTGGAAAAAGCCTTCTCTAATCGATCGAACTAAGCTATGATCGATCATACTGTGATCATTCCAACCCTGACATGATAGATCAAGCCCTTTGTCCTTATCCTCAGAAAAATTTCATATTCAATCAATCTAACCTTTCCTTCGATCGATCTAACCTTTCCTTCGATCGATCGAACCCTTTTGATCTTATCCTCACCTACCATTTTTGTCCTCTTCTCAAAAATATCTCAGCCTTGTCCTTATCCAAAAAGTGCGCCGCCATGGTTGATCGGTTGATCAACTATACATCAACCTTCGCAATAGCACGAATCATTGTAAAATAGGGCTATTGGTCGGGTAAGTCGAACCACTGGGACTGCGCTAGTCTAAAGCAACCTAAATGTCTAGAATCATTCTTAGGATGATGAGGTGTAATAAAGAGTTGTTGATTGTTTGTCACTTATACTATGAATTGAAATATGCATTAATGAAAAACTTGCAAGAATTTAAGAGATGAAAGACGAGTAAAGAAGACTAAGGAAGTGAATCCGCCTCCATCCCTATACACATGCTAGATTAGACCTAAATTAGGGGAAAAACAACATATGATGGTCAAGAACTACATGGCAACACATAGTTGCCATGTAAGTAAGAGGTACATTAGGTCTCAAACAAGTATAATCCATCAAAAGGGTAAACATGTTTAGACTGCCTAACTAAGGTGTAGCTTATACACGTTTACTTAAATGAAAGACTATCAAATTCTTGACAAAATGATGAAGCACATGGAGTTAAAGATTAAGCATACACCATCAAAGGATTTCCTAAGCAATGGTCTATCAAAGTCACCTATCAACATTCCATTAAATCATTTCATAACCTTGTTTCCATTCTCACCATGTAAACTCAAACAAAAAGATTAATACAAGACATCACCTAACATAAGATAATGAGCTTGAAGAAATCATCCATACATATATAAACATTCATTACACTAAATGAAGTGCTCTTAGCTATGAAAAAGACCATAAATATACATTGCAATCCCCCAATATAGACTACCCTAGGACATGCTTACAAGGGAGGGACTTCATCACCTCCCTAGAGAAAGAGTTAGTTACTCATTGCTAAGCTAGAAGAAGGAAGAAGCTCCATCCAAGACTCCATTTTCGTGCTCCTTCCTTTGCTTGAAGAACTCCTCCTTTTGCTCCCTTCTCTCTCCTCTATCTTGTAAAAATGTAGGATAATGCATTTTTGTGGCCTCCCTTCTCTTCTCTTTTATAGATAAGGCCTCTCTCTCTCCCCCAAAAGACATCCTCAACCACCTCATCAATAGGGAAATCCAAAGTTGGTAAATGTAGAGTGCAAGTGGCTGAAGTGGGCTATTCCCGAACAACAATCTGCCCAAAATTCGAGCACTCGAAGCAAGGCCTCGAGCACTCGAATTTAGTGTAAAAAGCTCCATGCTTCACTTGCTCCGCCCAGACCTACTTTAATGAAATAGCCATAACTTTGTGCTCCGAACTCCGAATGACAAACCATTTAAAGATTTGGAGATTTAATTCAGAGCTTTAAATACTTCATGTTTTGCTAGAGATCCAATTCTCAAGGATGGTTGGTCGAAAATGAAGATCAAGGCAGAATTTCATTGCTGCCAGGCAGTTCTGCGCACCTCTGGTAACAAGGCCATAACTCTCTGTTCCGAGCTCCGAATGACAAACTGTTTGAAGATTTAGAAAGCTAATTCAGAGCTCTAAATCTTTCATGTTATGATAGAATTCCAGTTCTTGAGTTTGCTAGGTCGAAAATGGCGACAAAAGTCAGGTTCCACTGCTGCCAAGCTTCAGCATTGTGCCTTTGCATTCAAAATTTCAACAAAACATCATTCTTGCTTCTTTTAAGCCAATGAACCTGAAAATAAACAAAAATGCACAAATGAAGATAATCTACATAATAAAATCATATAATGGACTTAACTAATGCAATTTAGGGCGCTTGAATATACAATATTCGGCGCTTATCACACCCCCAAACTTACATTTTGCTAGTCCCTTAGCAAAACTACAATGAAAAACTTAATGAAAAGACAACCATGGGCATGCTACTACAAAAATATCATCCATGGTAAAATGAGATATATACATAGCTCAAAAATAACTTGAAACAGAAAAAGAGCTGGAGATGGGGTCATTGGGAAGACTACCTTGCATATATGAAGCATTGATACTAAACACATTTCAACATGCATGTATCAACATCATAGACTATATAAATAACTCAATTATCATCTCTTGAATGGAAATCAACTCTAGGTTTAGTGAAAGTGAATTGGATTCTCAACATGCGGCTTTTACTTTCTTTTCCAATTTCCAAGCACAAGTTTTCGAATCATTGAATTCCCCTTTAAATGAGGTCCCTAAGGCATGATTTTATTTACAAGACAACTTTTGTTGCTTGTTGACAATTTATTGTAACTCATAAGCAAAACATAGAATGGTTGTGCAATGCTGAAGTCCCTTAAGCTTTCTAACCAACCTATGTAGCAAGCGTTAGGCCAACAACTCCCAAACCAGATGGCTTTAGGGTGTTAAGTGTAGAGACACTCCAAAGGGCTTAATAGCTGAAGTTGGAAAGGCTACGAACTTTAGCGAACCATGTTTATTACAATTTTTTTTTGAATGACCGTGCAATGTTTAAGTCCTTTAAGCTTTCTAACCAACCCTTGTAGCAAGCGTTAGGCCAACAACTCCCAAACCAGACGGCTTTAGGGTGCTAAGTGTAGAGACACTCCTAGGGCTTAATAGCTCGAGTTGGAAAGGTTACGAACGTCAACTGGTCATTTTTTTCTTTCTTTCTCAGTTTTTATTTTTTTTATTTTTTATTTTTAGACAACTTAAATCATGCCAAAGATATTCATCTATCAGGTTCATCAAATCAAATTAACTAGACCAAGGTCAAGGTCAATCAAGTTGCATGCCTCACAGTTAAGTTTCCAATGTGCATCTGTGCATTGTGAAGCTTAAAAGAGTGTCAAATCCAGCGAGAATCTAATTGAGACATTTATATAGACTGATTTGAATCCATATGATCATTTCAACTCAAATTTTTCTTTATTTTGAAAAATGTCAATTGCTTCTATACACAAGGTATTAAACATATGCTTCATCCCTGACAAGTTCAAATCATACTATCATTGCTTAACAAAAATGCAAAACCAAAAATGTCCTAATGCACCCCCAAACTTGAATGTCACATTGTCCTCAATGTGTGAAGACAAGTGAAACAAAATAAGAGCAAAGAAGGTAAAAGAACAATATTACCAAGTAGAGTGACGAATGCAAAAATATCCACCGATGTAAGTGCGCAAACGCGTCCCCCAAACTTGGATATGAAGACCTATCAAAACACAACTAAAATATACATGTAAAAGCATAGGTCTCTTAAGAAAAACGGGAACAGAAAAAATAATACGAACATGAATGTTATTAAAAGATAGAAATCTATACAAAAACATAAATTGGCACACATTAGCCACAAGTTTAAAATGGATAGCAAAAGAATGCCAAAAGTGTGCCATTTTACTCTTCTTCTTTTTTTTCACTTTATATATATATATATATATATATATGAAAACATGCATGAGGGTTGGATGTGTGGGGGGTTGTGGGGGGTGTTGTAGTTTGGTTAGAGTGGTGAGGTGAGGAGGGCCGAAGGAAGGGTTGGGTTGAGTTGGGGTAGTGAAGTGAGGGATGCCGATTGGTTGGGATGGTTGTGAGGTGGTTGTTGGGATGGTTGTGAGGTGGAGAGATGGGTTATGTGTGGTGAGGAGTTGAGGAAGATGGTGAGGCATGGAAGTGGGTTGCATGGAAGTGGGTTGATTGGGTTGATGTTATGGAGAAAGAGAGGAGGGAGGTGTGTGTGCTGAGGGGTTGAAGGT